GGTTGTGTATCTTTTGTATACAAAACGCGGGGTTTCAGTGAGGTGACAGGTTCGATTTCCCCCCGAACGAGCACTTTTACCGCGTCCTCAGGCTCGTCACTCGGTTGCCAAAGCCAGCCAGTTCCCAATCCCAAGGTGCTTCACTCTCCCAGTTCCCAAGACACTTCACTCTGCCAATTACCCAAGGCACCTCCGCCCGTTCTTGGGGCATTTGCGTTTGTTCCACGATCTTCGTTTTCCAGCCTGTAATATTGTTTCGTGGAGCACAACTAATGCAGCTGCTCCTGCTGCGTCGGCTGCTCCTGCTGTTCCTTCGCCGTCTCGCTGCGAGTGCCAGAAGGTCCTACTGGCCGACGGACTCCGTCGTGCACCGACTCGCACCGTCGTCGCGTAGTATCCGCACACCGCAATCGTTGAGAACTCCCGCGGTGCGCTACAGCAAGCTGCGCTTGCGCTGCCGACTTGGGCTGCCGACTTGCGCTGCCGACTCGCGCTGCCGACTTGCGCTGCCGACTCGCGCTGCCGACTTGCGCTGCTGACTTTGCGCTGCTGTCTTGTGCTGCAGACGTTGCCCCCCGCTGCAGCCAACGAGTTGTATGTGCTTATCTCAGGTCTCCGTACTCGTTTCGTCTGCTCGTCCCCGGTCAGGCCCCTTTGGTCGAGAGCGTGGAAGTATTGCAAGAGCCTCTGACTCGCTGTGAATCCACACGAAGTGTTGACGCTTGCCGGAATTTTGACCTGGTATTACTGGGCCACGTACTTGGGTTGCCAGCTTGACGAATTTGTGCTGCGAGGTCCCCTCGCAACCGGGTTACACGTAACCAGGGTTGCATCTTGAGCGTATGGAGGATGACGTGCGATGGCGGAAGTATTTCACCCACTCAGGAGCCGACATCTGGACGGTTATTGACAGGGCGCTGCGGGTAGCCGCTTCTGATTTTCCCGCGCAATTACGCCTGCGACGCGACGGTATCGCGGAAAAACTGTTCACCTTCGGTCGCCAGTCGCACGCGCGGGACGTAACACCCCCCCACGTCTCGCGGGGGAGCCCAGAACGGGCGGCGACGGAGCGGGGGGCGATGGAACAAGCAACAGGAGTTGCAGAGCGAACCGCAGAGCGACAACACGCGACGACGGCAAGTCACGCACGTGACGAAGGCGCTCCGAGAGAGGAAGCAGCGAACGATGGGCTGAATCCGACGGTCAGAAACGCGCTGGGGAACGATGAAAGGCGGAACGAAGGCGGAGATGGGGGCGATGTGAGGGAAAGGAGACGAGATGGGTATGGTGATGGGGGTGGGTATGAGGATGAGAAACGGGGAGGGGAAGAGCGGCGCGAACGGGAAGACGGCGACCGGCGAGAGCGAGATCGACCGGAAGTGCGCGGCAGTGACGAGAAGTGTAGACGGCCGTCAGGCGATGGACGGCCGTCAGACGATGGACGGCCGTCAGGCCATGGACGACCGTCAGGCCATGGACGACCGTCAGGCCATCCCGAGGGCGTGGATGAAGAGATAGACGTTCTTGGAGGTGCGAGGAAGGAGGAGGAAGAGGAGGAGAAGGAGGAGGAGGAGGAGAAGGAGGAGGCGAAGGAGGAGACGAAGGAGGAGAAGCGAACAAAACGGCGCGGGTGCGTGTTTGTGCTTGGGGAAAGCGACGCTTCAGATGACGAGGATTCAGAGGAGGAGGAAGAGGAAGAGGAGGAGGAGGAGGAAGTGGATGTGGATGTTGATGTTACTAAAGAGAACGAACACGTTGATGGGTTCGATCATCGAAGTGGGAGACACAGTGGTCATGCTGGTGCTGGGTCCGGTGGTAGGGGCAGAAACGGGGAGAGAAGGAACGGGAGGGAGAGATTAATGGGGGGGGAGGGAAGAGGAGTGGGTAGAGGAATGGGGAGGGATGAGGAGGGAAGAACATGGGTGGAGGAGGAGGAGGAGGAGGAGGAGGAGGAGGAGGGTGATGCGACCGCAGCAGTGCTGGAAGAGCAGCTTCAGGAGGAGGATCGGTTGGTGGAGCGTATTGAGGAGATTAAAGACCTCCTTAGACCGTCCAGACTGGTAAGTGCCCTTGTTGCGCTGCCACTATGCAGGACAACGAAGCCACTATGCAGGACAACGAAGCCACTATGCATGACAACGAAGCCACTCTGCAGGACAACGAAGCCACTATGCAGGACAACGAAGCCACTCTGCAGGACAACGAAGCCACTCTGCAGGACAACGAAGCCACTCTGCAGGACAACGAAGCCACTCTGCAGGACAACGAAGCCACTATGCAGGACAACGAAGCCACTCTGCGGGACAACGAAGCCACTCTGCAGGACAACGAAGCCACAATACTGGCCACAGAATCTCAAGTGTTAGTGAAACTCCCTTCCCCTTCCCCACCCCCTCAACCCCTCTTCAACTTTACGTCACTCCCACGCCTGGCCCTTCCTTCCAAGACCCACCTCTTTCCCCTCCCCCCCACACGCCTTCCAGCTGTGCAGAAGCACAAGAATCCCGCACAGCACATGGAGTCCCTTCATTGTCCCTTCACCTCGCCTCACCTCGCCTCACCTCGCCTCACCTCGCCTCACTACACCGCACCTCTCACCCACCTCCCTGTCCTCCCTCCCTTGTGAAGTGGCTAGATTAGTACTCCCCCCCACCCTCTCCCCTTCCCACCCCTCGTGACTGGCAGGACAAGTTGTTACCGGTACAGAAATTGCACTCTTCTCATTGCTTGCTTCGAAAGTCACGTTAGTAGTCCCGTCATCCCCCCACTCTCTCCCCCCACTTCCCCTCTCCCTGTGCCTGACAGGACAATGACTATCTAGTGCGGCATCTGGAGTCTTTACTGCACATGCCGATGACCCTCGAAGCCTTGCGGGTGAGAGGGGACACAGTGGGAGGGGGCTGCAGTGAAGGTGTATAGACAGAGGTGATGGCGACATTGGCAGACAGGAGAGGGGCGGAAATATGGAGCGGAGGGAGGAAGAGGAAGGGTGTGAAGAGAGGGAAGGAGGGGGGGGGGGGAGGAGGGTTGATCGTCTTTTGGGGCTTCCTTTGATGAGCGGTGGATAGGTGAAGGAAGTGACTGGGAGATTGGCAGCAGGGGTCAGTTCAGCAGGAAAGGGTGGTGGGCCATTTCTTTTATTTACTCATGCTTGGCTGCGTGGATGTGTCGGTGCATCAGGTGACGGAGGTGGGCAAGAGAGTGAACTCGTTCCGCAACCACCCATCAGAGAAAGTGCGCGCCATCACTAGACAGCTCATCGGGTGAGTGTGTGATGGGCATGTGCATGACGGGCACATGCATGGGTTTCACAAGGGCCCAGCAGCAGATACAGGGGATTCATGCTGTCTCGAACTGTATCCTCCAGACCATAGTGCCCTGCTTTCGAACTGTATCCTCCAGACCATAGTGCCCTGCTTTCGAACTGTATCCTCCAGACCATAGTGCCCTGCTTTCGAACTGTATCCTCCAGACCATAGTGCCCTGCTTTCGAACTGTATCCTCCAGACCATAGTGCCCTGCTTTCGAACTGTATCCTCCAGACCATAGTGCCCTGCTTTCGAACTGTATCCTCCAGACCATAGTGCCCTGCTTTCGAACTGTATCCTCCAGACCATAGTGCCCTGCTTTCGAACTGTATCCTCCAGACCATAGTGCCCTGCTTTCGAACTGTATCCTCCAGACCATAGTGCCCTGCTTTCGAACTGTATCCTCCAGACCATAGTGCCCTGCTTTCGAACTTCCTCCCTCCGCCCATCATCCCACCCCTCCCCGCAGTGCATGGAAGGACCTAGTGAAGGAGTGTCGAACCGCAAGAGTGCGGCAGGTGACTGTTGTGTCGACTCACGAATCTCTTCATGCTCGCACTGCCTCCCTTCCTTTGCTTTCCCCGTCATCCCATCCCTCCCCGCAGTGCATGGAAGGATCTCATCAAAGAGTGCCGCAAGAGTGCAGCAGGTGATCACTGCACCAACTCACAAATCTCTTTCTTCCCTCACTCCTTCCCATCCCTTCGCTGTTCCCCGTCATCCCATCCCTCGCCGCAGTGCATGGAAGGATCTCGTGAATGAGTGTCGCAAGAGTGCAGCAGCCGTGGCCAGTGAGTCCCCTGCTCCCTTCCTCTCTTCCTTTGCTCTCTTCCTTAGCTCTCTTACTTTCACCTCTCCCCTTCCTCTCTTCCTTTGCTCTCTTCCTTTGCTCTCTTCCTTTGCTCTCTTCCTTAGCTCTCTTACTTTCACCTCTCCCCTTCCTCTCTCCCCTTCCTCTCTCCCCTTCCTCTCTCCCCTTCCTCTCTCCCCTTCCTCTCTCCCCTTCCTCTCTCCCCTTCTTCTCTCCCCTTCCTCTCTCCCCTTCCTCTCTCCCCTTCCTCTCTCCCCTTTCTCTCTCCCCTTCCTCTCTCCCCTTCCTCTCTCCCCTTCCTCTCTCTCTTCCTCGCTCCCTCCTTCTCTGAATCTCTGCCTCGCCCCCTCCCTTGCTCTCTGTCGCTCTCTGTGTCACTTTCAAAACTTCTCTCTCCTCCCTCGCTCTCTGCCTCACTCCCTCCCTAGCTCCCTCAATTCCTCCTTCCTCTCCTTCCACCCTCTCTCCCCCTCCCATCCCGCAGGGTCCACAGCAGGCCTACCAGAGGACGTGTCATCGGGGCCTTTTCATCGCCCCCTCATGCTGTGTCACCTGCTCTCCTGCTCCCCTTCCCTCCCGCCGTCGCTGCTCTCCCTGCTCCCTGCCATCCCCCAGGGTCCACAGCAGGCCTACCAGAGGACTTGTCATCAGGCCTGCCATCGCCCCCACTGGATGAGAGTGCCCTGCTGCAGGGGAGGAGCATTGCCATGGGGGCTAGCGAGGTGAGTGTGACTATAGTGAGTGTGGCGGTTTGTGGTTGGCTGTCTGCTATTTCCATCGACATTCAGTGAAAATCGTATCCATGGGTGCCAATACTCCCTTGTGCCATGCCTTACCCCGTGCCCCCTGCCTTACCCCACTCCCCATGCCTTACCCGATGCCATACATGCAGTTGTTCCGTGACTTTGGTCTTGGCCTCGACAGCGGCTCATGTGAGTCCTCTCCTGCTCGCCCCTTCCCTCTCCTTACTCCCTTCCCTCTCCTGGCTTCTTTCCCTCTCCCCGTGCTATTTGTGTTTTTATTGTACACTAAACACTTTGTTAGTCCGTTTTACCTTCTGTATTGACAAGCTCAGGTCCATGTGGTGTTCCTTTGTACCCCTTACAGCCAGATCCGATGGAAGCCCTGACAACTACCGCGCTCCACCACCCCACGACGACGTAGCTTCATCCCCACCTGTTTATAACAGAACTCCTGCTTACAACAGCAACCCTGCTTATAACAAGAGCAAGCCACGGTATACCGGGGACAGGCAGGAAGCACGCGAGGCGCAGGGTCGGGCTGGCAACAGCAGTGCTGGCGCTCTGATAAAAAAGAACAAGGAGAGGAGGGAGAAGAGAGGGGAGGAGGAGATGATAGGGAGCGATGGCTTTGGGGGAAACAGGGGGGGGAACATCGTGAAGGACAGGGTGAGGGAGAAGAGAGGGGAGGAGGAGATGGTAGGGAGCGATGGGTTTGGGGGGAGCAAGGGGGCGAGCATTCAGAAGGAGAGGGCAAGGGAAAAGCTTAAGGACAGGGAGCTGGAGAGGGAGAGGGAGAAGAAACGGAATGTGGTGTCTGGGCTTGCTGCTGCTGGCGTTTCAAGCATGGACAGGCAGGGTGGTGCAGGACAGATGATGGGCAGAGCAGCAGGACGAGGGCGAGGAGGAGTAGGAGGAGAGGGGTCACCTTTGCAGAGGCGTTTGATTCAAGGCGCTAAGGAGAGGGAGAGGGAAAGGGAGAGGTCTGTGTCGCCGTACCGGCCCACTGCGCCTGCGTACGGCAGGAGCCTCACCCCTCCGCCCAACATGCGATCCGAGGTACGCTGTACCGCATCATTCCATCGAGGTACACTGTACCTGGACTTTCAGACGAGATTTGAGCTGACTTGAAACTGGTATGGCAGGAGCCTCACCCCTCCGCCCGAGTTACCCTGTACCTGCTAGCAGTGCATTCAGTTTGTGCATTGCGAGGATGAGGAGAGTGTTCTTAACCTTTCTGGTCAGCAGCTTAGGAAAAACATTCTGTCAAACTATCCTGGTTTAGAACTGCAGAGTATGACAGCAACGCAGGCAGCAACGCTGCCCTGCTGCTTAAAGTCCCAACAACACTCTGTGTGATGAGCAACAAACGAATTGAGATGGCTCTTGACTTCCAACAAGCAAATGCTTTCCCACTTCCTCACCCTCACACTTGCATGCACTTGCCCTTTCCACCCCTTGGCCCCCCCCCCTGCCGCGCTGTCCCATTCGTCTCCCTCCTATACCAGTTTGCAGCAGGGGGCGGAGGAACAGAGAAGGAGCGCCTGGAGTTGGCTGTTGACCTCCACCTCACATGTGCATGCACTTGCCCTGTCCCCCCTTTGCCCCTCCCTGCCGCGCTGTGCCATTCCTCCCCCTCCTATACCAGTTTGCAGCAGGGGGTGGAGGAACAGAGAAGGAGCGCCTGGAGTTGGCCAAGAGGAAGCTGCACGAGCGGTACCAAGGGATCCAGGACGGTGAGATGCGAAACCCCTCAACCCAGACCTTTGCTTTGGCGGTGGAGCTGGTCTTATAGGGTGAGTGAGGACCGCACTCATCCCCCGATCCTCCATCCATGTAGCCAAGAATGTTCTAATAGGCACACTCATCTTCTGAAGCTCACCCCTCCCCATGTCTTCCCCTCCTCGCCCCCTCCACTGCTTCCATCGTCCATGTAGCCAAGAAGGAATGTTCTAATAGGCACACTCATCTTCTGAAGCACACCCCTCCCCATGTCTTGCCCTCCTCGCCCCCTCCACTGCTTCCATGGTCCATGTAGCCAAGAAGCAGAGCATGATGCAGGTGGTGGATCCGGGGGCAGTGAAGGGGCGCTCTCCAACTCACTTTCTTTCTCAAACACATCCCACCTCCCAACCCCTGCCTTCCTCCTCTCCCTTCCTGCCACCATACCTCCTCCCATCTTTCCAGCCAAGAAGCAGCGCACCATTCAGGTGGTGGGCCCGGGCGCAGTGAAGGGATGTTCTGGGAGGCCCTCCAGTCGCACCCTTTTCCTCTGGTAAACTCCCCCCCTCTCTCCCTCCCACACACCCTCCAGCCAAGAAGCAGCGCACCATTCAGGTGGTGGATCCGGGGGCAGTGAAGGGCGGCAAGGCGAAGCCCAGGTTTGCCTTCTCTCACAACGCGCGAGGGGGGGGAGCAGGTGGTGGTGGCGGGAGGTTTGGGCGGAGGTAGGTGCTGCTGGGGGGGGGGTTACTGTAGTAGCTTCTGGTGGAGGTTGCTTCTGATGGAGGTAGCTTCGGGTAGCATTTCCTTTATCAACTCAAGCTGGTTACTGGTAGGTGATTTATTGTATCTATTGGGTGCGGTGTGGATGTGGAGGGGCAAGAGGAGCTTGATACATTGGTGAGAATTGGAAGAAATTTGACAGTAACGCATCGGCATTGAATGAGCATTGGAACCCCGAGAGCACTGGAATCCAGAGAGCACTGGAACCCCGAGAGCATTGAATGAGCATTGGAACTCAACTTACCTTTGCGTTGAGCCAGGTACCCCGAGAGCATAAAGTAGGTACTGTAGGTTAGCTTAGTGCTTTGGATGAGAACTGGAAGAATTCTGACAGAATAAAGAGCTTGTAAGTACTCCAGATAGCAGTGTTGAGGAAAGGTCTATATTGTGAAAGTGTACTTAGGCTGACTGGCAAAGGCAGCGTTATCATTTCATATGGGGCAGCGTTATCATTTCATATGGGTTGTAGTACATCGTTCTCGTCTTATATATGTCTACATAACAGCATACACAAATGGGTGGGCGGGTGGGAAATTAGAACTACAATTTTGAAAATGAAAACGTGGGTGGGGACGAATGTCCCCACGTCCCTCTTTTGTAGGCAAAAGAGGGTGAGTAGCGCTTCGGCGCTACCTTTGCTGTGTTGGCCACGTACCCCTTTTCACAATACAAAATTTTAGAAAGTGTTACATTTCATTACACTTTCAAAAATTATCATATTGTGAAAGTGTACTTAGGCTGACTGGCAAAGGCAGCGTTATCATTTCATATGGGTCTTCTGAGGCAAGTGTAGTCGGGGCTGCCGGTGGCGTTCGATGGATAGCTGATGCGTAGCGGGCGAGGGAGCCGTCGAAGGATCCTGCAATTGCGTAGAGAGGGAGATGAGCTGATCCTGCGCGATTGTAACGTACATCTCCTTCGCGCTGTCGCTGCGCCATCGGCCCATGCGTTTGAAGAGCCGGTCAGGAACTCCGAGGCTCGCCGCTGCAGTGGCTGCGCCTTTGCGGAATGAGTGGGTTCCGATGTGCGCGACATCCAGTCCAGCTTGCCTGCCGGCTGCGAGGCACCAGTTTATGATCGTAACGTAGGATGGCGATTTGTCGTTCGGTGTGGCTTGTGAGTTCTTTGGGAAAACCCTTATCAGCGGTCCATGGGGCACCTTTGTGAGGCCTGCGATGTGTATGAATGCGCGCGTGCACCTCACCGGGCAGTATGGGCCTGGAATTGCCGCCACGGGGATCCAGACTCCCCTCCCCTCCTGGTCCGTCTTGGAGTGCGGAATGAGCAGCCACATTGCCTTCTCCTCGAACTGTACGTCATTCCATTGGAGCGAGACGAGGTCGGAGTAGCGCAAGAATGCCGAAAACATGAGAAGAGGAATCAATCCTTTCTGGTATTCCGCAGGAATTGATGATTCGAGGAAGGGACGAGCCATGTCGTGCACTTGATGGAGAGATATGGGCTCTTTGGTTCTTGTAGGGCGGGGACCATGTCTCTTGGCGAACTCCCGCACTTGCAGGGTGAGTGGGCCGGCGGTAGGGGAGGTTTCGCCTGTCATGCGGTGGGCAAAGGCTACTGCCGAACACGTGAGGTTGATCGCGGAGAGAGTTGCTTTGTTGTTGAGCGCATGGATGAGATACAGCGCTAGCGTCAGGTCGGTTGCCGGGAGGAACTCGAGCTTAACTTGGGTACAGAAGGTGCGAAATCTCTGCCAATAAGGTTGGTACGTCTCGATTGTAGATGGTGCGCGAGCGTGGCTAATTACGTGCAGCAATTGTTGCTTTAGTTTGGCCAAAAGTCCTGAAATGACACATTGAGAAATTGTTATTAGACTGCATAGTTTACACGCAAAGCAATGATTGGGCTATGAGGCAATCCGAGACCAGAGAATGCAGCTGTGTGTGAACCTGCCCGAAGGCATTGACTGCCTTGGGCAAGGGAAAGGTGCTCGACTACTGCTGGAGCCCACGATTGAGTGGACGGTTGAAGAAGCGGCCACCATGATGCTCCGGTCCACTGGGGAACGACGAGCGTGAGTTCTGTCTGCGTCAGTTCCGCGTGGCGGAGTGTAGCGGGAATTAAGTGTGGAGGCGGGAAGGCAAAGCATCGCTCGCCTTTCCACGAGATGGAAAATGCGTCGACGGCAAATGCGTCGGGGTGCGGTATCTTGGAGCAGAAGCGCTGAACGTGATTGTTATGAACGTTAGCAAAGAGATCAATTGTGTGAGGCCCCCAGCGTCGTTCCAAGAGGCGAAACCAAGGTGCATGTAGGGAGTAGTCATCAAAATCTTGCATCTTGGATAGGTCATCCGCATGGGCGTTGAGCTCCCTCGGAATCCATTCGATCACGAGGCGTGTTGTGTTGCCGAGGCAGAACTGGATGATCGCTTGGCATGTCGACGTAAGATCCGCCTGACGGGATCCCCCCTTGCGCAAGATAAACATGACTGCCTGGTTGTCCACCCGGACGAGGACGTGAGCGCCCACGATTTGGGTTGCGAACGTCCGCAGTGCCCAGAGCACTCCCTCGAGCTCTCGCCACGTACTAGATGTGGGGAGAAGCCCTTGTGGCATGCACTCGCTTGCCTCGCATGATGTACTTGGGAACTTGGCCAAGGTGGCACCCCAGCTGTGCGCGCTCGCGTCGACGTGTATCACTGCATCAAAACGCTGACTCTGGTGGAATGGGGCGCCATTGAAACGATCAAAGTGCATTGTCCAAAACAGCAGCTCCTCGGTCGCTTCTGGTGACAATAAAACCTTTGAGTTCCATGACCATGCGGAGTCGATCAAGTGGAGCAGCTCATGGCTGAAGGCCCGCGCCGTCGTGCCCAGCGCGAGCGACATGGAGCTGAGAAATCCAGTGATCCGGGCTATCTTGCGAATCGGCACTTGACGACCCGATTGCCCTTTTTGTATAAGTAGGTGGAGCTCCTGCAGTAGTTGTTCGCGCCGATCCTTTCCGACCAGGAACATCCCTCGTTCCGTGTCAAGCTCCATCCCCAAAAAGCGCAAGTGGTGTGCGGGATGCAGGTGTGATTTCTTAGAATTTATCACGAATCCTGCCGCCTTCAAGTCGTGGAGAACTTCGATGCACGTCGAACGGGCTTGCGCCTCGGAGTTGCAGAGGAATAGTAGATCGTCCACGTATGGTATTACGCGCACTCCGCGCGCGCGCCATCTCTTGGCTAGTTGCTTAATAAGCTGGGTGAAGATGAACGGGGCTGTTGCCAGGCCGAAAGGTAAGGATGTGAAGCAATAGAATTTTCCGCCCAATTGAAAGCCCAAAAACTTCCAGCATGATGGGTGGATTTCGACGTGGTGGTAGCCTGACTTGAGATCGATTGTGAACATCCAGTCGTGTGGGCGAATGATTTCCGCGACCCGACTCAAGCCTTCGTACTTGAACTTGGGAACTTGGAGGTGAGCGTTGACCTTCCGCAGGTCAAGGATGAGCCGGCATTTGTCTCGTTGCTCCACAACATTGAGCGGGCTGATGCACGTCACTGCGGCTTTCGACGAGACATGCATCGCGGCGCCTGACGCGATGAGGTCGCTAACCGTGTCTTGGGTGAATGCCATGTGTGCTTGAACGCCTGCGTGATTGGGCGCTTCGAAGGGGAGAGGCTCTGTGCCCTTCCATGGTAGCCAGTACCCTTTGGCAATGATGGAAAGGATAAGACTGCTGTCGCACCATGATAGCCACCAATGGAGGCTGTTGCGCAATCGCATTCGCATGATGGACACCATGTTGTCCGTTATTGCGTGCTCGTATGGGTCCCAATGAGCACTCCGCCACTCGCCTTCCACTTCTGCAATTAATGGGCAACCGAGGTTGTGTGGGGGGGGACCAGGGCCAAGGTCGATTAGATGCGAGATAATACGGGACACTTCGTCGGGCAAACTATGTCGCTTGTCTTCTACCGCCGTCGTGCCTCCCCGCACTCCCGGGTTTTTTTTTTTTTTTTTTTTACTTTGCTTGCGCAGTCATCAGCTTTAATACCCTTGCAAGGTTTTTTTTTTTTTTTTTTTTTTACATTGCCTTACAACGAGATCGGCGCATTTGCGTCACTTGGTCCAACGACCTTGTTCCTCACGATGTCGTCGTGATAGTTTCTCTCTCTCTCTCTCTCTCTCTCTCTCTCTCTCTCTCTCTCTCTCTCTCTCTCTCTCTCTCTCTCCCTCTCTCGCTCTCTCTCTCTCTCTCTCCGTCTCCCTCTCGCTCTCTCTCTCTCTCTCTCTCTCTCTCTCACTCTCTCTCGCTCTCTCTCTATCTCTCTCGCCCTCCCTCGTTCTCTCTCTTTCTCTTTCTCTCTCTCTCTCTCTCTCTCTCTCTCTCTCTCTCTCTCTACCTCGCTCTCTCTCTCTCTATCTCGCTCTCCCTCCCTCTCCCTCACTCTCTCTCTCTCTCTCTCACTCTCTCTCTCTCTCTCTCTGTCTCTCTCTCTCTCTCTCTCTCTCTGTCTCTCTCTCTCTCTCTCTCTCTCTCTCTCTCTCTCTCTCTCTCTCTCTCTCTCTCTCTCTCTCTCTCCTTTGTTCTTCTCTCGGTCCTTGCTTTGTCTTGCACTCCTGGCCAATTCCTCCTCCGTGGCTGCCTTCCTCAAGAGGGGGCTGATGTTTTATTTGTTGTGCCATTTGTCTTCTCGTTTCGTGTTGGCTCCCTTTCTCTCTCTCCATTGTTCGTTTTTTTTTTTTTTTTTTTTCAATAACAACAATCTTTTATTAATCCACACAAAGGCATACAAGCCAAGCCTATGTGTAAATGAGTAAGCAGGAATGAATGAACTATGAATGAAAGCAGTACAAATATGAAACCCTAACTGGGTTGTACCCCCTATGGGATACCCCACTACAGCCTACACAGCAGTATAAGCTATAGATATGTTCTGACACACCCCCATAGGCAAAGTGGGGGAGAAAAAGGGGTCACAAGACCAGTCAAGCAAGACAAAGCAAAGCTCAGGGTGGATCACAAAGTCACCACACAGTCCGAGCACAAGAGCAAGGCCAAAGGCCAGTTCACAAGCAAGAGTACAGACATATATATATAAAACTAGACAAGCAAGAGCAGGTATATATATATGTCACAGTACAAGTAAAGTCAAGAGGAGAGCAAGTGAGGCAAGACAGGCACAAGACCCAGCTGGGTGCAGAAGCGCTGATGGTCACAAGGCGCAAGTGCCTTGGTGAACACATCAGCAGTGTTGGCCTCAGAGGCCACGTACGCAAGTCGCAACTGACCACGCTGCTGCAACTCACGAGCAAGGAAGTAGCGGAGAGCAATGTGCTTCGTTCTGTGCTCCAAGCGCTGCTCTCGACACAAGGCCAGCATAGCCTTGTTGTCTACGTACAGCACTGGAGGAGAACGAGGCGGCTCTCCAAGGTCAGTCAGCAGGTAGGTGAGCCAGCGAAGCTCCTGTGCAGCCATGGCTCCGGCGTAGATCTCAGCCTCACAACTGGAGCCGAGAACCGAAGACGAGCGAGTAGACCGCCACGAGACAGAGCCGGAACCAAGGCTGAAGGTGTAACCCTGTGACGACCGCTGCGTAGCCTGGTCGTCAGCCCAAGAAGCGTCCGCGTGGCCGGTAAGGACCACTGGACTCCGCCCTCCAAGCACTAGCCCCATGCCTGACGTACTGCACAGGTAGCGCAATACCCTCTTCGCTGCAGCCATGTGCTCCGGTCTGTGTCTCCCAGGAGCAACATAGCGCGCAAGAATGCTCAGAGGGTATGCAAGGTCAGGTCGTGTGCAGGTCATCAGGTACATGAGGCAGCCAACAAGCTCTGCATACGGACCACTCGACTCTACGGACTCATCCGAAGGCAGAGCTGAGAGTGAGTGGCGAGTAGGCAGAGGAGTGGCCTGAGGCGAGGAGTACGTGAAGCCGAAGCGCTGAAGGACCTGCTGCACCATGTGTGACTGAGTCAAGGTAATGGTGCGGCGTGCTCTGTCCCGAGTGATCTGCAAGCCAAGGTAGCTGCGCAGTTCACCCAGGTCTGTGCACGTGTGTCTCTTCAGCAGCTCGGACTTCACGTAGGCGAGTCCAGCAGTGTCCGCTGTGGCAAAGACCAAGTCGTCGACGTACATGAGGTTGTAGAACGGCGGCAGGGAAGTGTCGGTGCGAAGAAACAGCGACGGGTCAGCAGTAGAAGGAGCAAACCCAAGAGCCGCAAGCGTAGTCCTCAGTGTGTCGTGCCACTCACGCGGTGCCTGGCGGAGACCGTAGACTGGCCGTCTGAGGCTCCACTGGGTGCCAGGAGGGAAAGTCCCAGTGAAGCCAGGTGGACGGCGAAGCCAGATCTCCTCGTGCAGGCTACCCTGCAAGAACGCAGTGCTGAAGTCGAGAGAGTGAAGCTCGTAGTCGCGCTGAGCGGCTATGTGCAGCAGCACCCGAAGAGTAGTCATCTTCGGGGTGGGAGAGAAGGTCTGAAAGTAGTCAACTCCCTGCCGCTGACTGAAGCCACGAGCAACGTACCGTGCCTTGAAGACAGGTGGAGAGCCCGGCGGCCGCTTCACCCTGAAGATCCACATGCCACTGACGATGTTCGCCCAGGAGGGGGAACCGCGTCAACGTAGGTGCCTGTGGACTTCCAGGAAGCCATCTCTGCATCCATGGCTGCCTGCCACTGAGAGGAGTAGGGGCCCTCTACGGCCTCCGCGTAAGAACGCGGAGTCGGGATGTCTAGTGCATCCGGGTCTCCCTCAGGGGCAAGCAGTACAGACGCGAGATGAGGTGAAGCAGCCGCTAGACACTGTAACTCCTCCTGCCTGTCCTCTAGGACGTCCGTGCCAAGAGCACACTCACCCCCGACGGACGGAGGACAGACAGACGCAGACTCAGCAACAAGACTAGCAGCGTAGTCGAGACGACAGCGAGCAGCAAAGTCGACGAGCTCAGCGACTAGAGCAGACGCAGCAGTGGACTTAAAAGAGGGGTCAGTGACGACAGTAGCAAGCAGACGCGTGACAGTAGGACTCGCAGCGCAAAGAGAGTCCGACTCAGGGTCGGCAAGCGCAGGAAGAGAGGACTTAGGAGGAGAAGGCAAAGGGGCACGCAGAGGAGCAGTGGACGGACGCAGAGACATCCGGTGCGTGCCAGGGACAGGAGGAGGACGCTGACGCGAACTGCGACCACTAGCGCGAGCAGCACGAACAGGCGACGCGGGGCGAGACGCAAGCTCACGACGCTCAGCAAGACCTCCAGTAGGACCAGTGTAAGGAGAGGGAGCAGGCAGTGGAGAGGAAGGCTCCAGTAGGGACTGCGACTGGACAGGCGGTGGACCCTCTACTGGAGGAGAAAGACCAAGAACCTGCTGAAGGAGCGGAACGAAGTACGGCCGAGGCCGCGCGGCAGCTCCAGTCTCAGTAGGGACAGCACCAGCACCCTCAGCGACAGCACCAGCGCCACCCACACCTCCAGCGGCAGGACCAACAGCAGCAGGCTCAGCACGAACGCCCTCAGCAGCTCCAGCTCCAGGAGGACCCGCAGGTCCAGCAGCTCCGGGACCGGCAGCACCCGCACCCTCGACGATCGAAGAAGCTCCAGCTCCAGCTCCAGCAGCACCTCCAGACTCAGCAGCACGCCTCCAGCGGCGAGCGAACCACTCGCGCAGCTCCTGTGGAGAGAGGGGCTCCCGGCGAGACGCAGCAGCAGGAGAAACCCCAGGCTCAGCAGCTCCAGACGCAGCACCCCCAGGCTCAGCAGCTCCCAGCTCAGCACCCCCAGGCTCAGCAGCTCCCGACCCAGCACCCCCAGACCCAGCACCTCCAGGCACAGCACCCCCCGGCTCAGCACCCCCAGGCTCCGCACCCACCGCAGTAGCACCCTCAGGCCCAGCACCCCCAGCAGTAGCACCCCCAGGCACAGCACCCCCGCGCACAGTACCCCCAGAGTCAGCACCCCCAGGCTCAGCACCCGCAGCAGCACCAGAGTCACCAGTAACCTCGACCGGGTCAACGGCGTCTACCTGGGACACACCTGAGGGGGCAGGAACCTGAGGGGGGAGGGGGTCTACCGGGGGGGGAACCGGCACAAGGAAGTCCGGGGGAGGGGGGAGGGAAGGAGTGCGGTAGGGGAAGAGACGGTAGAAGGGGACTGACTCGTCGAACGTGACGTCCTGGGAGGACAGAACACCACGAGAGGAGGGGTGGTAAAACTGCCACCCTGGGGCGTCAGTGGGGAAGCCAAGAAAGACACAGGGAGCAGCACGAGGGGACAGCTTGTCCGCAGACAAGTCGCGGACAAACGCCCGAGATCCCCAGACACGGAACACAGACGCATCGCCAACCTTCCCTGTCCACAGCAAGACTGGGGACATCGCAGGCCGAGAGACCCGGGGGTGAAGGTTGAGCTGATGCGCCGCGTACCTCACCGCAAACGGCCACAGAAAATGGGGGGCAGCCGCATGAATCATGGACGTACGAGCGACATCCATGACCATGCCAATGCGGCGCTCAGCAATCCCATTTTGCTGTGGTGAGTCCGGAAGCGTGAAGGTCTGGCGGATCCCCCGTGCACGACAGTAGTCTCGCAGAAGGCGAGAAGAGAACTCTCCGCCTCTGTCAGAGTGCAGACGCAGAACAGGAAAGTCCGAGCCGAAGCTCTTCCTGAGCTGGAGACGAGCCTCGCGGATCCAGTCGATCAGCACCTCAGTGACCGCACCCTTGCTGCGCAAGGGGAGGACTGTGGTGTAACGCGAGTAGTCGTCAACCACCAACAGGAAGTATCGCTCGTAACCCTGCCCACGGACGGGGGCTGGGCCCCACACATCCATGTGAAGCGTCTGCAGGGGAGCCTCTGTCGGGGGGAAGTGGGAGGAGTGAGGAGTAGCCCGGAGACGACCCTCGACACAGGGGACACAGGAAGGTCCTGGCCCGGAGGGGAGAGGAGGGAGAGACTGGGGAAGACCAGAGACAAGGACACGGGAAGCCATGCTCCGAAGACGGGGCAAGGAGGGGTGGCCAAGACGGTGGTGCCACAGGAGAGTCTCGTGAGACAGGAGGCGACAAGAACAGGGGGCAGACTCAGGACCTGACCGGGACGCAGCAGCAAGTACCTGACCCGACGCAGCCACCTGACCAGACGCAGGGACAGGAGGAGACTCAACGGTCAGGGTGTAGAGACTCGAGCCCGGCCGACGCGAGAACGTGGCCAGGTGTCGGCCTGTGCGAGCCTCCGTGCAGTGGGTCACCCGCTGACGCGCAGGAGTGAACTGGTGAACACCCCCATCCTGCAGGTCCGCTCCACTCACCAAGTTCGTAGAGAACGAGGGAAGGTACAGACCCGACAGGGTGCCCGAAGGGGCAGCCGGACACGGGAGGACAGTGGAGAAGTGAGACAGGACAGGACCCCCAGAGGGGTCAGCAAGGGAGACCGCAACCGGCCTGGCGAGCGGCGAAAGGGTAGTGCGGTCTCGAAAGAAGGAGCGAGAAGCTCCGGAGTCAAGTGTGAAAGTGAGGGAGGACGAGGACGACTCAGTACCTGAGAACGCAGTCTCACCAGTACCTGAGAGCGCAGACGCACTGGCACCTAGAGCAGCAGCCTCACAAGTACCTAGCGCAGCAGTACCAATGCCCGGGTCGGGCTGGAAACACCGGTAACCCTCATTCTCCTCACTATAATCCACAACATACATAGCAGTAAGGATAGCATCAAAATCAAGATCAAAGATCGCTACACCAGCCCTGAGAAGCTCATCCCAGCGAGGGATCTCACTAGCCCCAGGGAACTGCTGACGCCAAGCGTCCGTCAGGCGGCCAAAGCAGCGCTGGGTGGCGTGGGCACCCCCACACTGCTCACCCGCGCGGTCGCCGGAACGAAGAACGTAGGTGCAGGGACCAGTACCCCCACCCCTCTGACGCCCAGCGTACCACTCACGAAGCTGCTGAGGCGAAGGGATGTCCCGTGAGCGCTGCTGCTGCTGCCGGTGCGAGCGCTGGCCACCACCACCGCCGCTACGCTGCTGGGTACCACCCCGACCAGCTCCACCTCCTCCACCACTACTGCCTCCGCCGCTGCCGCCTCCACTGCCTCCACCTCCGCCGCCTCCACCTCCGCCGCGGCCTCCACCACCACCGCTGGCACCACCACCACCGTCTCCGCCGCTGCTGCCACCACCACCACCACCACCCCCGCCACTAGTCCCGCCGCCACCCCCACTCCCTCCGCCGCCACCGCCGCCACCGCCACCGCCCCCCCCAGCTCCACCCGCGCCCTTGCCTCCCTTGCCCTTGCTGGAGCGACGTCTCCCACTAGGGGCAGACGCCGCGCCGACCGACTCAAGACCAAGCAGGTCGGCAGCAGCAGCAGAGGCAACAGAGGGCAGCAAGGGGGAAGGAGAGCACCCCTCAAAGATGGGGGTGCGAGGGTCACCACGAGAAGCACCTACAGCGACTATGCTCTTCTCCGCTGCAAGGAGGGCCTTCTCGAGGAGGTCGACGGTGAGAGTGGTGGGACAGACTGCGAGAAAGTGGTCCCTGACGACGCGAAGGGAGTCAGGGAGGCGCGCGACTACGTAGTAGAGAGCGATGTACATGGGAGGGGGGTTCCTAGCGCAGAACTCAGCAGGAAGGGCGGCGCGGTAGCGAGTGTCACTAGTGCGGAGGTGCGTAATGAGGTCAGCGACAGTGGGAAAGGCAGAGAGGTCAGGAAAGAGGTAGGGAAGCATGAGACGGCTCAGTGCAGCAGTGGCAGGGGAGGAGTAGCGCGCAACTACAGCGTCGTACAAGGTCTGAGCACTCTTGTACTGACTAAAGTGCGCACGCTCAGAGGTAGGGAGGTGGCGACGCACAGCAAGACGTGCAGCAGCATCGCGGGTGGCCCACTTAGAGCGGACAGCGGGATCAGCATCAGCAGCAGGAGCAGGAGAGGCGCCGGAGGTGAGGTCAAAGAGAGAAAGGTCATCAGCCCTGTCGCACTGTAAGAACAGCTGCAGGTCGTCTAGCCAGACCTCAAAATCAATGGCGCGACCCTCAGCGTCAAAAGCTAGGACACTAGGGGTAGCCATGACGACGACTGTGAAGCAGTGCAAGCAGTAGGGGGGAGAGCACGCAGTGACAGTGGGACTGTGCTCACCAGGCAGGGCAGGTCGCGCAGCTCGAGAGAAAAGCAGAACGGCGACCGGGCGGCTCGGGTGTACAGCGGATCGGCTCCCGGGCGGCTCGGCTGCAGGGCGGCTCGGGTGCAGGGCGGCTCGGCTCCCGGGCGGCTCGGCTGCAGGGCGGCTCGGGTCCCGGGCTGCTCGGCGACAGGCGGCTCAGGTCGCGTAGAAGTGAGACGGGGCGGGGCCGCGTCAGGGCCGGCGGTAGGGCCGCGTAGGAGCCGGGGCAGGGCCGCGAAGGAGCCGGGGCGGGGCCGTGATAGGAGCCGGGGCAGGGCCGAGTAGGAGGCCGGCGGTGGGGCCGCTTAAGGGGCCGGCTGCGGGGCCGAGTAGGAGCCAGCTGCGGGGCCGCGTGAGAGCCGGCGCGGGGCCGCGTAGGAGCCGGCGGCGTGGCCGCGTCAGGGCCGCGTAAGGGGGGGGGGCCGGCGCGGGGCTGCGTAAGAGCCGCGTAGGAGCCGGCGCGGAGCCGCGTAGGGGCCGGGGACGGGCCGCGTAAGGAGCCGGCGCGGGGCCGCGTAGGAGCTGGCGGCGTGGCCGCGTAAGGGCCGCGTAAGGGCCGCGTAAGGGGCCGGCGCGGGGCCGCGTAAGGAGCCGGCGGCGTGGCCGCGTAAGGGCCGGGGCGGGGCCGCGTAAGGAGCAGGCGGCGGGGCCGCGTAAGGAGCAGGGCGGGGCCGCGACAGAGTGGGCGGCGAGGCCGCAGGGGAGAGGGCGACTCGAGGGGTCGCTAAAAAAAAATCGCGCCTCGGGGGCGCGCTTCGGTGGGCCCAAAAAAATTCGGTCCTGGAGGGACCTAGCTCTATACCATGTGTAAATGAGTAAGCAGGAATGAATGAACTATGAATGAAAGCAGTACAAATATGAAACCCTAACTGGGTTGTACCCCCTATGGGATACCCCACTACAGCCTACACAGCAGTATAAGCTATAGATATGTTCTGACAGCCTACACCATAACCAGCCCCTACGGCTGCCATCTTGCCTTGGCCCCCATGGCCTATCCTACTCCCCAAGGCTCCTAACCAGCCTACGCACCACCGGTGCATCCACCTACGCCCCCCGGCATAGTGGCAAGGGGCGCCGCCCCATGGGTCCTCTCACACCACGGGTGCGGGACCTTGTGCGCCACGCCCTCCCATAGGGCAATTATTTGCCATATGGCCGGGCTGGCCGCAACGGAAACACACCCCCTTGAAGCGGGGCTCGTGGCAGCCCGCGGGTGGCATGCCTTTGCTTTCCGGTTCACCGTCTCGAGGGGGAAGGCGGCCTCCGCGGGCGAAGCCGGTACGTGCACGCTTGAGGGCCGCCACGTCGGCTACCGCGAGCTTGTAAGAGCGGGATGTGAGCACGCTCTTGGCTTGGTACAGCTGGAACCGATCCGCCGCTTCGAAACCGGCCTCATCCGCCACCAAGAGCACCTCGAAGCGTTTGTTGATCAACGTGTCGATTTGCTCCACGTTGGAGAGCGCGCCCTCGACGTCGCCGTTTCGGAGCTTGAACTCGACGTGCCTCAGGTGAGCTTGAATTGCAGAGAACACCTCCGCCTGGTCACGCACTCCCTTGCGCATGAAGGTAGTAGCTGCGGGTGAAGGGTTGAGGGGGGGAAAGGGAGGTGCGGGTGCGAGAATGCGACGACGGGCAAGATTGTCGGGGGCCTCACCGTCTTCATTTTCTGAGTCGTCGCTGTCGTCGGGGATACGGGCTTGGGTTGGTGCCGGAGCTGGGGTGGGAGCAGGAGCAGCGTTGTTGGTGCGAGCGATTTTGGTGGAGCGGGGAGCCGCGACAGGTTCCTTCTGCTTTTCGATTTTAGCTGACGCAGAAACTTCTTCAGCTGATGTAGCTGCAGTCGACGGTGCGTGCTGCTGCAATAACGAGAGCAGCGCCTGTAGTTGCTGCGCGGTCAAAGGGGTGGGGGCGGCGTTGACCGGGGTGACGTCAGCGGAGGGTGCCGCGCGCTGGCGTTTCTGGGTCGTGGGCCCGGATGGACCCGCGTCAGCGCCGGTCAAGACGACCGCCGCGTCAGCGGCGGTCGTCGTCTTCTGCGCAGCACGCGCGTGCCTGCCAGGCACGCGCTCTTCAGCAGCAGCCACGCGCGACTGTACAACAGTCGCGCGTTCCTCAGGGGGGGTCCGAAGGGTGCCTCCGAGCAGGAGGTCGACCGCCGAGGGTCCCTCGCTTGAAATTTCCTCGGCGGGACGTTTTCCGCCGCGACGATCCGTTGTCACGGCCGGAGTCGAGGTTTCCGCCGCGTTACCGGGGCTAGAATTATTCGAATTGTCGCGGTTAAGTGCCGGGTTGACCGGAGCCATCGTTGCGAGGTTGCGCTTAAGGATGTCGTTAAGGAGCGTTGACGGGGCAGTGAAACGCGGAAGCGACTGAGTCTTCGCCCGTGTGGACGAGAACGAAATTAGAACTACAATTTTGAAAATGAAAACGTGGGTGGGGACGAATGTCCCCACGTCCCTCTTTTGTAGGCAAAAGAGGGTGAGTAGCGCTTCGGCGCTACGTTTGCTGTGTTGGCCACGTACCCCTTTTCACAATACAAAATTTTAGAAAGTGTTACATTTCATTACACTTTCAAAAATTATCATATCGTGTCACTCGCCCCTCCTGACACACGTTGCAAACTTGCACTATGCACTGATTTGCACTGATTTGGTCGCGCTTAATCGTCAAAAAGAACGATGCTGCAGTTACCGCATGGAATGGAATGGCAGCGGTAGCTGAATTCCAACAAAAACTGTTTTCCATTATGGCAAAACACCAGTCTTTTGGGGTCTATTGGGGGAACTACCAATGTGATGGAACAAAATAATAAATTTAGGTCCTTACAAGAGACCCATGGGCATGGGGTACTAGGGTCTGCCTTTTCTTGTGACTGCATATCTGGGAGGGAGACAGACAATGATACTGTTTCATTGGCTGATGCTTCAGCAGCAACAAAGACATGGCAGCAAGGGAAAGAGAGCGTCAACAAATGCTTCGGCATTGAAGGGTTGAAGGTCTTCCATGCCCTCCCCCACATTTTTTTAAAGCGCCTCATATTTTAACAAAGTGGTGAGATCTCTGTTACGAAGGAAAGAGAGCGTCAACAAACGCCTCGGCATTGAAGGGTTGAAGGTCCTCCATGCCCTCCCCCACGCCCACAAACTTAACTGGAATGCCCAAATCGTCAACCACACTCGCCTGCACACAGCACACCGGATAAGACCATGTAGAGAGTCAAACCAGATTGGCATATTTCCCCAGCCATCAGCAAATTTCGTTTGACAAGGTACTGATAGGTAGAGCGTGAATGGGGCATGGGATTGAGTCAGTGACTGGAGCAAGTGCAAGTGCAATACAGGAGCCAGGGGTGAGAGAGAAAACAAAAGTATAAATACGGAACGAACGAAAGAAAGGGAGGAGGGTGAGGGCAAAGGCAACTCACCACACAGCCGCCCCGTGCCGTGCCATCCAGCTTGGTAAGGACAAAGCCTGTCACCCCGACAGCCTGGCACAGACAGAGAGTGGTGGAACACAGTGCAATAGTAAGGGTGGGGAGATGTACATTATAGCGTTGGCAAGGGAGGAGGCAAGCACGCATAGCCAGGGGAAGGAAGAAGGGGGCAAAGCTGCACAGCAAGGGAGAAAGGGTGATCAACATGCATTATAGGGTGATAAACATGCATTATAGGGTGATAAACATGCATTATAGGGTGATAACCATGCATTCTAGGGTGATAAACATGCATTATAGGGTGATAAACATGCATTATAGGGTGATCAACATGCATTATACAGGGTAGGGGGAGCGGAGGCGGAGAGGAGACTCGCCTGGTTGAATTCTCGTGCCTGTGGCAGCATGTTGAGTCCCGTGGTGCCGTCCAACACCAGCAGCACCTCCTGCGAGTAGGCAATGGGGTGGGGACCACAGGAGCAGTGCGTGTTGGGGGAGGGATTGCGTTGGTTACAGCATGGATAGGGGGGCCTGAGGCAGCATGTTGAGGTTTGTGGTGCCGTCCAACACCAGCAGCACCTCCTGTAGGCATGCAGTGGGTTGGATGGGGAGAACAAGAGCAGAGTGCAGAGCACGCAGTGCATTATAAACAGGGACACAATCAGTAAGCGCCTGCAGCAGCATGTTGAGGCATGTTGCACGCCTTCCAGCACCAGCAGCACCTCCTGAAGCATGTGGGGTAGGAATCACCGAACAGCACGTGTGCAGGAAAGAATGCACCGCTAGAGAATGCATCATGGATAGAGGCCTGAGGAAGCATGTTGAGGCATGTTGCGCGCCGTCCAGCACCAGCAGCACCTCCTGCGAGTAGACTTGCAGTGAGTGGGTAAAACACAAGCAGCGCATGGAGGAATGAACCATCAGATTTCCTGTCTGTCACAGCACCTTGCAGTTTTTGGGTCGACACCCAAAAAAAAAAGAAAAAAAAAAAGAGTGAGCCGAACATAGAGGAACGCGTTATCCGCAAGAGTGTTGAGTTTCTTGTACCTGAGAACAGTGTGAAGCACGCAGTGGTAGGGTTGACTCACATTGGGAGCGCCGGGTAGGGTCTTGGCCACGGCTCGCTTGCACGCCTTGAGCTCCTCCATCAGGTTGAAGTTGGTGTGCAGCCCTGCGGTGCAATGCGGTGGTGGGAGGTGGGTGGTGGTGGTGTTGTGTGGTTGGGAGTGGGGAGGGAGAAAGCTGGAAGGCAAAGGGAGGCTAGGCTTGACACGGGCACGCTTTGAGCTACTCTATGAGGTTAAGGTTGGAGTGCAGCTTCCATGACCCCCCCTCCCATCTATCCATCCGTCCCTTCTGTTCCCCCCTTGTGCCTCCCGTCCCCCCTGTAGCACAACTCACGGCCAGAGGTGTCAGCAAGGAGAATGTCAAAGCCCTCGCTGCTTGCCTCCCATGCCTCAAACCCCCTGCGGTGACTGAGCCCCCCAACAACCCCCCTCCCGTGCACCAGTCCCCTTTTCCCACGACTCACGGCCAGAGGTGTCAGCAAGGAGAATGTCAAAGCCCTCGTTGCTTGCCTTGCGCACCGCATTCGCCAGCACTGCATGGGAACAGGCGCGGAGGAATTCATGGGATGCATGGGTGTGAGGGGGCATGTGGGTGAGCGCGTGGGTGTGGGGGGGCATGGGTGGGTGGGCCTATTTACGGCTGTTCTCCTTGTGTGCTTCCAATCACCATGCATTTGCTCTGTGTGCTGGCACTGGCACTGGCACTCACCCGTGGCAAGCACTCACCCGTGGCAGGTCTGGTCTTCTCCCCCTCTGCAGTGAGAATCGATGCGCCTGTCCTCTCCGCCCACACCTCCAGCTGCTCGCTCGCTGCCGCCCTGAACGTGTCTCCCGCTGCCAGCAGCACCTGAGGGTGGGGGAGGGGGCGGGAAGGGGAGGGGGCGAAGTGGGGAGGAGGGATGCAGGGGAGCACGGATGGGTTATCAAAGGTTCAAGAAGCTCCTCGCTCGCTGCCGCCCTGAACGTGTCTCCCGCTGCCAGCAGCACTTGCAAGAGGGGAAGAGAAGGGGAAAGGGAGGGGCAGCATATTCGTCACCAAGAAACAGCTGTAAGGGTGGGGGAGTGGCGGGGGGGACGAGTCTAGGAAGCGAGGGATAAGACAGGGGAGCAGGGGAAGGAGAAACGGAGGATGGGCGAGAGCAGGGGGAAGCGGATGAGGGGGAAGGAGAGGGGGGGTGGGTGGTACGGCTTAAAGAAAAGCGTAACATAACCCTGTTACGACAAAATGGCACATGATTGACTCCCCTAACACCCTCACTCTGTTATTTTAGCGACACAATGCTCAAGTCAAGCCTGTTGTAACAACCGCGAAACCAGCAAGCCGTGCTACTCCCAACGTGTACGTGTGACTCACTGACGCCCAAATGTGTAATGTTTATGCCCAAGTGTGTCATTTGGACGCATACACGAGTTGGCCGGCTCTGACCTGGTTCCCCGCAAGGCATTACCTTAGCCCCCTCGTTGTTGAACCGATGCGACAGCTTGCCTGGTGGATAGGAACGAGAGAGACGGATGGGGAGGGCATGACAGACAGGGCATGGGAAAGGGGAGATGGGGGATGGGACTTGAAGGATAAGAGATGGTGTGAACAACAGCAAGAACAGGCGACACACTCGGGTTAAAACAACTGCTGCGAGCGCTGAAACGCCTTCGAAGCAAGAAAGGACATGAGGGGCGCTAGTGGCGGGAGGGAGGGAGGGAGGTAGGGAGGGAGGGAGGGAGGGAGGGAGGGAGGGAGGGAGGGAGGGAGGGAGGGAGGGAGGGAGGGAGGGAGGGAGGGAGGGAGGGAGGGAAGGAGGGAGGATGGGAGGGAGGGAGGGAGGGAGGGAGGGAGGGAGGGAGGGAGGGAGGGAGGGAGGGGAGGGAGGGAGGGAGGGAGGGAGGGAAGGAGGGAGGATGGGAGGGAGGGAGGGAGGGAGGGAGGGAGGGAGGGAGGGAGGGAGGGAGGGAGGGAGGGAGGGAGGGAGGGAGGGAGGGAGGGAGGGAGGGAGGGAGGGAGGGAGGGAGGAGGGAGGATGGGAGGGAGGGAGGGAGGGAGGGAGGGAGGGAGGAGGGAGGGAGGGAGGGAGGGAGGGAGGGAGGGAGGGAGGGAGGGAGGGAGGGAGGGAGGGAAGGATGGGAGGGAGGGAGGGAGGGAGGGAGGGAGGGAGGGAGGGAGGGAGGGAGGGAGGGAGGGAGGTAGGGAGGGAGCGAGGGAGAGAGGGAGGGAGGGAGGGAGGGAGGGAGGCTGACCAATGGTGGTGGTCTTGCCACCGCCATTCACGCCCACAATCATCACCACTGCCGGCTTGCTGCACGCATGGGGGGGAGGGGGAGGGCATGGAAGGAGGGGAGAGAGAGGGGAGGGAGGAGCGGAGCAGGGGAGGACGGAACTGGGTTTCCAACGAGCGGCAGGGAAAGGAGGAGTGCGACTGGGTGCGTGCATGGAGAGAAGGGGGTGCGGGAGAAGGGGAGGGGGAGGGGTAGCGGCGAGCATGCCAATAGTAGCAAGGCGGCAGCCCAGGGGAAGATGATGTTAAGAGTACGGCAGCTACGTAAAGCGGGACGGGACGATGTTCGTGGTGTGCGGATTGCGGAGTGATGGAGAAAGGAAAGGAGAAGGTACAACAACCACAAGCGCACCTCTCATCTGCTCCCCACTGTCCCCACAATTGCGGGCGAATTGCCAGCGCGAGCAGCCACTCCCCTTCCCGGCTAACCCTCCGCCGAATCTCCCGCACCCCTTGTTCCCCCTTCTCCCCTTTCCCCCCATCGCTCTCACCTGGTCCCCAGCTCCAGCGCGGTGACGGGCGCTTTTTCCGTGAGGAGCTTCACAATGGCGCGCTTCAGCGCTTCCTGGAGTCGCGGCGCACAAACGGGTGGGTCGAGAGAAGGGGTAGGGGGGAGAATGGGGGGATTGTGCGAACGCAACGCCGCGCTTCAGCGCTTCCTGGACCCGCACGACCAAAAAGCGGGGGTGACGAGCGGCAGGAAGAGAGGGGAAGAGAAGTAAGAGAAAATCGTGCAAAAAAAAACCATTCCAAATTCACCTTTCCTCTCACGTCATTACGCATTTAATTGACTCCCCTTTCGTTCTCCATTGTGAACCCAAGTTCGAACCTCTAATTCGATCAGTTAATCACTGTCACCACCAAGCCCCGACTTTATCATGATCCTCTGTTCAATATCACCACAAAGACTCAACTCACTTTAATCTCTTTGCCAGTCTTAAGCTGTCCCGCTTTAATCTCCTCCCGGATGCCGTCCACAATGCGAATCGCAGTGCGCGGCCCGAAATCCGCCACTATGAGGGCCTTCAGCAATAAGACAGATGATAAGATATGTAGGAGGGGGGTGAACTATGCCAACTTTTCGCAATGAGATTTCTAATTTCTGTGAATGCCATCGAAGTCCATTCATCACTTTTCTTGGTCTTTCCCTGTTGCATCCACACGTTCTTCCTATTCCAGTGAAGCACATAAAAAGCATTCAGGGTACACAAACATTCGATGCAGCTGACTTCTACGGCTTACCTCCTCCAGCTCTTCCAGAATATTGTCCGCCTCGTTTAGATTCCAATACGTCAAGAGCTCGTCCACAACCTTCAGGCTCTCCCTCGTTTTAGTTACACCCTTGAACACACGGTCGAAATCGCTCTGCGCCTTCTCTTTAATCACCCGGCCTAGTCGACCCAGGAACCCGAGCTTATCTAGCCCGGCCTGCACCTTGATCGGACCACGAATTCGCCTGGTTGCAGGTGCGTCTGGCTGGCGAATTGCGGGGATCAACGGTCGCGAGACCAGCGACTGGCACTGGTTACCTGTGAGGCTTCTGCTGCCGCTAGTAACGGCATTGCCGGGCGCTAGTTTTAAGGTCTGTGAGGAGCTCTGAAGGAGCGCTAACGAGCGCGACGCTGCGGCCATGTTGGCTACGTTCGATTCTATACGAATACAACAAAGTTATCAATTTGGGGAAACAAAGAAAAGGTATGATATTGTACGAACCAGCGTGGTCGCAGCTTCAGGCAGACAAATCCTAAAATTCAAGTACTGCTGGAAAGGCTTGGATAATAGCTGTTATTGCTGATTTTGATGTGCTGTTGATCCTACTTGATAGGACTGCGTTTTTGCTTCCATTTGGAGCTAGCTGCTGATTGCTATGGAGTTTCCAAGGCGCAACTCGTAGAGCAAACTGGATTGCGTCGTCTCTTGCGATTGGTGGGAGAGGAGAACGACGTGGCGGCATCCAGAATGACAGCTGGACCGCCACAAGTGTCACGTGGAAAGGCTCGAGAAGAGTGCCCAGACGATAAATGTCGCGTTCCGAAACAAGAAAAATTACTGGTGGCTGGATCCGGTGTGTACATTCGAAACTCAAAACAATCAAGGAGCCTTTTATAACGAGCATTTTCTGTCATTTCCAAAAACACCTGTGATGAAGCCAGACCAGCCAAAAGCCAATCATTTAGATTTTGGCATTCCCTAGCTCGCCTAGTTCGCCGTCGCCGCCATTACTTTTTTTGCCTGCCCGTCGAATTCTAGCATGAATCTTCCCGGCGAGATCGAGGAATTCCTCTCTCGCTTCCTGGGCTACGAAGGATTCCGCTTCCATTTGCGACGTTACCTGCTTTTCGCCACGCTCTTCGCGCTCATCATCGTTGGCTACGTCTCGTCCGTCGCGCACCACAGCGCGAATCTCACCGCCAGATATGGCTACGACCCCGACGCTCCGCAAATCGCGCCGCTAGTAGCGGAGGATGACGCGAAAAGCGACAGTATTTCACAAGACGACAGGATGGGGAAAACCGAGGAAAAAGAAAGGCGGGAAGAGGAATCCGATAACGAGGAGCCCGAAAAAGCGGGATCAGGAGCGGAAGGCTGGGCATGGAAAGAGGCGGGGACAGCGGGGGAAGCACGGATAGGGTCAGAGACGGGGGGAGAGGATCAGGACGGGGAAGGGGGAAGGGCGGAGACGGGGGCAAGAGACGCGGAAGGAGGAGGCGGAAGGAAAGGGGAAGCAACAGGGGAAGGAAATGGGGAGAGGAAAGTAGACGGTGAAAGGAAAGGGGAAGGAGGAGGGGAATCAACGGCAGTACCGTCAGAATCATCATCATCATTAACAGCAGCAGCAGGAGGAGGTGGGGGGGCAAGGAGGAGCGCTGAGAAGGACAGGTGTGCGGTGGAGCAGGGCACGTGGAAAAGGGACAACACGTACCCGTTATACGCCTCCACGTGTCCTTATATCGAGTCCCGGTTCGCCTGCACTGGAAGGCCGTTCTTTGAATTTGCCCAGTACCGCTGGCAGCCTGCTGGGTGCCTGCTGCCGCGGATTGATGCCGGGAAGCTTCTCAGCAGCTTCCGGGACAAGCATGTTGTGTTTGCAGGCGATGCTGTGGCGAAGCAGGTGGGGATGGTGGGTGGGGAGGTTGAAGGGGAGGAGGGTGGGGATGGGGATGGGGATGGGGATGGGGGAGGGGGATGGGGATGGGGATGGGGATGGGGGATGGGGATGGGGATGGGGATGGGGATGCGGATGGGGATGGGGATGGGATGGGGGATGGGGATGGGGATGGGGATGGGCATGGGCATGGGCATGGGCATGGGCATGGGCATGGGCATGGGGATGGGGGATGGGGATGGGGATGGGGATGGGGATGGGGATGGTAAAGTGTTGGTAAAGTGATGGGAGAGTGTTGCGAGAATGATGGGAGCGTGATGGGAGAATGGTGTGAGAATGAATAATGTGAATGTTCCTTTCCCTCCTTTGCCTCGTGCGGTGGACCCACTATGACTTCTGGTGCGCCTCAGAATTCGATTTTCTGTCTGCTCCCCTCCTGCTTCCCCTCCTTTTCCGCCCACGGCAGATGTTCCTCTCCCTCATCTGCCTCGTGTGGGCCCAGGCCTCTTCTCCCTCCTCCTCCTCCTCCACGCCACCCGCCTCACCCTCCTCTGTGCTGTACCGAGTCTCACCAAAAGCAAAGACCGCTGCCAGGCGTGCAACAAGGGCAGAGAAGGAGGCAATGGCATCAGCGGGCGCGGAGATGTGGCGATCAGCCAACGAAAACGTAACGTTTGTGTTCTTCCCTTCGGACTACCTGGTAACCAGCATCGTCAGCACCACCACTGCCACCACCAGCAGCAGTGGGAAGGCATCAACGGTGCGTGTATTTCTGAATCAGCTGGGGCCGTGGCACGAGTTTGCAGAGCAGCACGCAGACCTCCTCGTGCTGCACGCTGCTGCAGCCTTCTCCCACAACGCATTTCTCCCCACCCTTGCAACCGCAAGCCCTTATTACAACACCAGCAATAGCAGCAGCAGCAGCAAGGAGCAGCGTGTTGTTTTTCTCAACGGCACCTCTCCTGCACATGATTCCAGTGAAGCCGCCGCCTCCTCAGACTCGCTATCCGCCTTCCGCTCTGCACTGAGGACGTTCAGTGCCTGGGCTAGGAGCACCCCTCGATTGAAGAACATTCCGGTCTTCTTCCTTAGCACTCCTGGACACCATTTCGCCTCAAGCAAGGACCCTGCAGTCCCTCGTTACAAGAACATATGGAAGGCCAAGTGGTCTGGCAAAGGTACCTGTGACAGTGTGAAAGTGCCTCTAGAGAGGCCTCATAGGGACAAGGAAAGGGCAAATGTTATCGACTCTGAACTGGCTGGTGATGGCAGCAGTGGCAGCAGCAGCAGCAGCAGCAGCAGCGGATTACAAATTCTTCCAATCGGGCAAGTTTCAGCTGCTCGGGCAGATGCACATGTGAGTAAATGGCATGATCAGGTTATTGATGGCTCAAAACAAGACTGCATGAATTTTTGCCTGCCTGGTGTCCCTGATGGTTGGAATGAGTTGCTGCTTCAAAGGTTGAACAAGTCGCTCTTGTAAGCAGTCCGACATTATAAGGGCTTATAAGGGCGTATAAATGGTTGTCCCAGATGCTACGTCTGTACCTCTGAATGTACCCCAAAACTAGTTGACCACCGATGGCGTAACTGGTGCCTCTTCAGTTTTACCGTTCGTCTGGTAGAGTGAAACGGCCCGCCCCCGACAACTCGTTCTGCTGGCATCCTTCTGTAAGGCGCGCAAAATGGCATCTACTACACATGTGGAGCCACAGCAACCAACTACGTAGAGGTTATACGGTATCAACGCAAAGTACAGCACATGGCACCCTCATCCGAGCATGCGAAACAGTATAAGTGTCCTCACATTGGTCACTATTGGGCTGAGAAAAGCCCTTAGGATCTTTTCAAGGCTGAGACCCTGAGTAAGAAAGTTGTAGTTGCGAAAGCGTTCTAAGTAAACTTGTTGAACCAACTTGCACTAGTGTGTGAGAGCAAGAGATTGAGTATAGCAAGGTATTACAAAAGGCTTTTATAAGATTACAAGAAATATGAAAGGGTGCAACTAACTGTTTTGCTGTTGTGGTTCGATACAGTGACGACTCGGGCAACTGCTCAATACCGAGTCAGTTGTTTGTCCTTGCTGTCGCGCTGTATTTCGTCGAGTCAAGGGTCGCTGACCTTTGACCTTCGCGTAACCTCCAGCTGTTACTTTCTGTCAACCTCTGTTTCGACACAACAGGAGCGTTAAATTACTTGTTTCCAACACTCCCCTTCGCTTCTGGAGTGTCGCTGCTGGTGATGTGGCTTTGTCCAGTTAGCAGCATGAAGTACTCGAACTTTTGCTTTCCGAGTTTCTTGGTCAAGTAATCGGCTGCCATCTCGGATGTAGGACAGTAGGATAGCTCGAGTCTCCCCTTCTCGATTTCGTCTTTCACGAAGAAGCACCGGAGGGCGATGTGCTTCGATCGATTCGCGAACCCGTTCTTGTTCGATATGCGGATGACCGATTGGTTGTCCCAGAACACCGAGAAGCTGGGTAACTGAGCTAGCTTCGCTTCTTCCAGTAGTTCGCGAAGGTATAATCCTTCCTTGGTGGCTGAGCAGAGTGCGATATATTCTACTTCAGCTGAGGAGAGAGCGATTAATTCTTGTTTGCTCGACTGCCACGAGATAGGGCCGATAGGCTCAAGTCGGTGTCAATCTTATATGTTCCTCATTGTGTAGGCTGTAGTGGGGTAGCCCATATGGGGTACAACCCAATTAGGGTTAGCACTTGTACCCATCATGCTCTTAGTCATTTCATTCCTCGTTCATTCTTCTGACATGGTATCAGAGCATGTCCTAGCCTAGGACCGTTTTTTTTCAGGCCCACCATTACTTAGTGACCAACTACGGTTACTGCGTTACCCCACGCCCTGCCCTTCGCTGCGCCGTCAGCGCGCGCCCTGCCCTGCCCTGCCTTGCGTCACACTGCCCGTGTACGCCCTGCCCCGCGTCGCGCTGCATCGCGCACGCCTTGCCCTGCCTTGCGTCGCGCTGCTCCGCGCACGCCCTGCCCTGTCCCGCGTCGCGCTGCCCCGCGCACGCCCTGCCTTGCCCCGCGTCGCGCTGCCCCGCACACGCCCTGGCCCGCGTCCTGCTGCAGCCCGTGCGTCGCGCACTGCTGTAGCCCGCATGTCGCGCCCTGTTGCAGCCCACAAGTCGCGCCCTGCTGCCCTGCGCGTCGCGCCCTACGGCAGCCCGCGCGTCGCGCTCTGCTGCCCCGCGCGTCGCGCTCTACTGCAGCCCGTGCCTCGCGCTCTACTGCCCAGCGCGTCGCGCCCTACGGCAGCCCGCGCGTCGCGCTCTGCTGCCCAGCGCGTCGCGCCCTACGGCAGCCCGCGCGTCGCGCTCTGCTGCAGCCCGCGCGTCGCGCCCTGCTGCAGCCCGCGCGTCGCGCTCTGCTGCCCCGCACGTCGCACCCTGCTGCAGCCCGCGCGTCGCGCCCTGCTGCCCTGCACAGCGCGCTCCCTGCTGCTCGCGCCGCCCAGGCTGAGCCACGCCACCCAGCCCGAGCTGCCCTGCCCAACCCGATCCGCCCTACTGCTCGTGCTACTGGTGCTGCTGGTGGAGGTGCTGCTAGGAGTGCTGGAGGTGCTGCAGCCTAGTCTCACCGAGCCGCTCTGCTGCTCTTACTGCTACTGCTGCTACTCGTGCTACTGCCTTCCCTCTGTACTGACCTACTGGTCGCGCGCCTCCTTGCTTGCTCGCTATGACCTCACTTCAGTGGGAGTGGGAGCGGTGGGAGTGGTGGCAGCAGTGGGAGTGGTGGCGGCCGTAGTAGCAGTCCCTGTGGAGCTATTCGGTGGGGAGTTTCTGGCGGTGGCCAGATACAGCTCCAGCGACGTCCGCGCGAGTTCCTCACGCCTCAGCAGCTTCGTGAGTGGTACGCTAGTTGGGGTTGTGGTGGCGGCCTTAGTGGCAGTCGCCCTGGAGCTGGTCGGCCGGGAGTTTCTGGCGGTGGCCAGATGCAGCTGCAGCGGCGTCTGCGCGAGACCCTTACACCACAGCAGCTACGTAAGTGGTACGCTCAGAGTAGAGGGTCTCGGAGTCCTGCTCGAAGCCCGTACGTCATTCGCATAGGTGATCGGGCTGGTCAGACTTGCGGGACAATTGGTCATACACAGTCCCGCTGCTTCGCCGGTCTGAGCGGCGCCTGGCGTACGGATTTTGGTGACGCGGGTGAGCTCTCCAGCTGGGTGGAGCTGCATAGGCAGAGAGTGGATATCTTTGCTTTTGACTATGATGCTATCCTCACTGCCATATATGCATTGCCTGTTAGTGCTGAGGGTGACTGTTACCTGTGTGTGCCGTCCAACCCAGGTATAGAGGCGGCTGCTGTAGGTGCTAGTGAGTCTGCTACTCTAGGTGCTAGTGAGTCTGCTGCTGTAGGTGCTAGTGATTCTGCTGCTCTAGGTGCTTGTGATCATCAGCTTTTCTGTATTGTTCTAGGCCTTGTGCCTACTTTGCCTCACTTGCTCACTTCTTGACTTTGCCTGTATTGTGATCTATATACATATACCTGCATGCTTACACTTGCTAGGTTGTGATCACTGTACTGCTTGTTCTCCTATATATATAACTCTGCATGTGAACTATCCTTGTGGCCATTTGCTTGTGCTCAGACTGTGTGGTGACTTTGTGATCCACCCTGAGCTTGCTTTGCTTTTCTTGACCGGTCTTGTGACCTCTTGTTCTCCCCCACTTTGCATATGGGGGTGTGTCAAACTTATATGTTGCTCATTGTGTAGGCTGTAGTGGGGTAGCCCATATGGGGTACAACCCAATTAGGGTTAGCACTTGTACCAATCCTGCTCTTAGTCATTTCACTCCTTGTTCATTCTTCAGGATGTCAATAGATGTAGCTGGTGCGCGATCGCCTATTGCCGGAATCGCCGGTGTGGTCAGCATCCTTGTAGCCGATTAGCTTGGGCGTCGTAGTTCCGCTTTTGTGGTAGGTTAGGCCGATTGTCGGAGTGCTGACAAGGTAGTGAAGAGCGCGGTCGAGTTCGGCCATGCGATCTCTTTCAGCCCTTTTGAGGTAGGTGGCGAGTTGGCTAGCTGAGTAAGATAGGTCCGGTCGGCAAGTAACGGCTTCGAAGAGTAGACAGCCTAGCTTTCGTTGGTAGTCGCGAATACTGGCAGGTTTGAGCAGAGCAGAGGCTTCCTTGTGATTTCCGTCAGTGTAGCGATATGGTGTGGTGATGGCAGCTGGAGTTAGTCCGAAGCACTTGGTGATGGTGTCGGCGTATTTTGCGGCGCTGAGATAGATCGCGTTCTCCCCTTCTTGTATGTTGAGTCCCAGAAACTGTGTCACGGTAGACGAGATGGTAAGCATGAGATCCCGCTGCAGCTCCTCTTCGAACCAAGTCGTGATGTCGTCAGTTGAGCCGATGTAGAGTAGGTCGTCTACGTAAACGATGAGCCAGATGTAGTCGGTCCCTTTAGTGAGTCGGTACATTCCTTGGTCATGCGGTAGTTGGCAGAATCCGATGCAAATTAGTCGGGCATGGAGATACTGCTTGTCAGAATCCCAACCACTAGACCATTGGGATAAAAGGGCTTGTTTGTGTAGCGGGTAAGTGCGCCCATAACCCCCCAGACCAACGTGCATGTAACCCTTCCCTAGGATCAATCGAGGATCACCAGTGCACCTCTTGTTGAAACTAGGTGATAAGAAGGAATGGTAGAAGAGGGGTTTGCACTAGCAGGCAGGTGGGATACATGTAGGAACCCTAAAAGTGTTGTACTCTTTGTTGAGTACCCCACTACAGCCTACAGAGCAAATAACAATTCAACACACCCCCATAGGCGAAGTGGGGGATAGCCAACACAACAAGCAGTCGCAGAACCAATTCACAAGCAAAGCCTAGTGGCAGGAACAGAGGGCAAGTGAGGAAGAGGAGGAAACTGGAGAGGAGACGAGGTGGGCGGCCGCTGAAGCTGCTGGCACTGGTCGCAAACGGTGTAACTAACTGTGCTCGCCAACAAGAGCAACTGACCCTCTGTAACGGGTAACCGGAGTAACAGGCTCGCTCGCCGGCAAGAGCAACTGACCCACGGGCCTCTGACGCAACAGTCTCATGGGCGACTAGAGCTGCGGACTTCACGACGGCTACCTCCATTCAACCTCCCCCCATTGCCCCAAACCCCCTTGTCACATCCCCCTC